GACTCCCCAGTCTGCACCCTGGACCCTCCTGGTCACCCACCCGACTCCCCAGTCTGCACCCTGGACCCTCCTGGTCACCCACCCATCGCAGTCTGGTCACCCATYGCATTCCAGACCCTTGCCATCACCCACTGCAGCCCACCAGGGCAGGSGTTTGGGGTGGGGAGCAGTAACGGGGACCCCTACATTGACCTGACAGCAGCCAAGGCACGGCTCCCAGCAGAGCCTGTTTAGGGGGTGCAGGGGGACGGGATGGGCTCCTCGGCCAAGCCTTGCATCACCTCGGCCAGCTGCCCAGTACAACCAGCAAGGAGACTGGGCAGGGCGGAGAGCCCGAGCCGGCTGACTCAGAGCCCCCTCTCCCGCCAGCTTTTGGGGAACCCCCGCCCGCCCARGGCCCGGGGAATGCTGGAGGGGGTTTGGGAGGACACGCAGACCCCTCTCCCCACGACCCCACCAGCCCGGGGAGCGCCGGGTCCCGGCGGCCGGACAGAACCGGGGTCCCGGGGGAGCACCGAGCGTCCTAGGGAGGGGTCCCCGCACATCCCGGGTAGGGGTCACCGAGCGTCCTTGSGGGGGAACACCGAGCCTCCCGAGAGGACACACCGGACATCCTGGGGAGGGGGCAACGAGCTTCCAGAGGGGCTACGACWCCCGATGCCATCCCGGTTCTCCCCATGGGTACCCCCGCCATGCCCCGGCCGGGGGCGAGCCGCGGTCCCCACCGATCCCCCAGCCGCGACCCCCGTTCCCCGCTCACCTGCAGCGCTCCCGGAGCCGGCGGCAAGCAGCAGCCCCGCGGCGAGCAGCAGCCCCGCGGCGAGGAGCAGCCGCGGCCCCATGGCCCCCAAGCCCCCCCCGGGCCGCGCTGCCCCGCCGCGGCCGCCCCCGCCGGTTCCCGTCGCGCATGGCCCCGGCACCGGCACCGGCACCGACCCCGCCCGGCCCGGCCCGAGGGCGGAACTTCCCTCCAGACCCCGTCGCCCCGTTCCGCTCCTTCGGCACCGCCCAGCCCGGGGCGGGGCGGGGGTGGCTCCGTGTGCGCTGGGAGGGGTTGGTGTCCGCGGTTGAGACCCCGGTGGTGGTGCTGCGGGAGGGGTCCGTGCCTTCCCCATCCCGAGACCCCCGCCTTCAACCCTCCCGGGATAGCGGATTCCCCCTCCCTCATCACCATCAGCCCACCACTTTCACCTCGCGGGAGAGCAGATACCCACCGTCACCATCTCATTTTTTGGAGACTTCATCATCACCCTGTACACTGAAGACCCCCACCTTCAGCACCCTCTATGGCAGAGCCCCCCACCTCCATCCCCCAGGGCAGCAGAGACCCCCACCTTCACCACCCCGTATGGCAGAACCCCCTGCCTCCATCCCCCAGGGCAGCAGAGACCCCCACCTTCACCACCCCATATGGCAGAACCCCCTGCCTCCATCCCCCAGGGCAGCAGAGACCCCCACCTTCACCATCCCATACTCCAGACACTCCTGCCATTATGTCCTCATGCACTGGAGACCCCCACCTCCATCAACCCAGACATCGAAGACCCCCACCCTCATTTCCCAGACACCACCCAGCCCCACCTTCACCTGCCCATGCACAGAAGACCCCCCACTCCCATCCCTTTACACCCCTTTTCACCTCTCCAGGCCTAATCCCCCATTAGTGGATGCACCCCACAGACCCCACTTCATGCCATGCATGGGGGTTGTGGCTTTCATTTATGGGACCCCCTCCTCACTGCTGTTCTGGAGGAGCCTGGGGGCTGTGGGACCACTGGAAAGACATGAGCCCCCACCTCCCTCCAGCACCGCTCACTGTGTCCTGCCYGATCCCATTCTCCATTTCTGGGGACAGGAAAATGATCCAAACAAGGCTTTATGGCCACCTCATCTGGGTCACCAAAAAAATCCCAAAACGGGTTCCTTCCCCTGGTGTACAAAAGGCCAATCCCACCCAGAGCCGAGGGATTTATTTCCAGTTCAGCACTGAAGGTCAGTCCCTGATGGGCAAATTGTTCATTATTTCTACACTTTCTCAAACAAGTATTAAACATTCATGGTCTGCAAGTTACACAGYTTCTCATTAATTAGTATTAATTAGTATTTTYTCTTTTATTGGTTAAATGATTCTCTTGCTTTCTCATGGTAATTAGGCTGCATGCTCAGTTTTCTCCTTTTTTTGGGTCAGTGGATTTCCTGACTCGGYTGTTGTGAGTAATTAGGGAGTAATAGTAATAATATAATATTATAAATGTAAAAATAGTAAGTAATAAAGGGACACCCTTGCTGGAATTACCCACTTCACCCTTTCGACTGATGGTCAGCCTTGTTTGTTCCTCTCCATTTCATGGCTGTGAGGCCGAGCGTCCTTGGTCTGTATGTCCAGTGTTCCATGGACAGTGCTGATGCATTGGCTCAAATTTCCTCTCCCTACACGTGCTGAGGCTTATTAAAACTGCAATTACTGACATGTAATTGCACAGAATTTCTGTGTTTGGAAGATGTACTTTAGGATGAGCAGCGCCTACTGCACCAGAGCTCAACTGAAACCGCTGAGGCGTTCTGAAGGCAACGGAAACTTGGAACCGACACTGGCGAAACCCCTGCGAGCAGCTTTTTGCAAACTGCTCGCTGGGTCTGCTGCTGTCCCACGGAGAGCGATCCGGAGGGAGCAGCAGGAGCCCCAGCATGGGGCTGGTGTCGGCCCTGAGCAGAGCCCTGCGGGGCCGGAGGGGCCGGCGCAAAAACCGGGCCCAGCGGCCTGGGGCCGAGCAGCGGCCGGAGGAGCTGGTCAAGGCCCAGGAGTTTGCCCGCAGCATCGGTGGTTTCACGCTGGGCCTGGCTTTGGCCAGCCTTTATGGTGCTCTGGTGCTGCTGGTGCAGGGACACAATGTCTGGTACTGCCTGAGCGTCACCGTCATCATGGGCGCGGCRCTGGGCCTGGGCATGGCCTTCTCCATGAAGACGCGGATGATCGTGCTGCTGGCCCTGCCGCATTTCTTCACCAGTGAGGAGAAATGGGTGCTGTGCTGGGATTTGGGGGTGTTGGGGGKTCCTGGCTCCCAGCTGAGCCCCAGGACTGCCCTGTTTCCACAGGGGAAGGGAAGATGCTGATCATGGTGCTGGCGCTGTGCYTGACGGTGCAAGGCCCTGGCACCAACCTCATGCACAACGTCTCCCAGATGGCCAAGGCGCTGTCGTGTGGGGCAGAACTGGCTCAAAATCAGACGGCCGAGCGGCTGCAACGTGCCAAGGAGCCGCTGCTGAGTGAGCAGGGTGCTGGGGGAGGGTGGACGGACTGGAGGGGCCTTTCCTGGGGGAGCCATAGACACCCCCAGGATACCCTTGCCACTTGGGGTATGCTCAGGTTGTCTCCTCTCTCTGCAGACTTGCAGAAAAAAATCAAGGACATCGGCCAGAATGCCAAGGTGGTGGCTGACCGTGTCCGCAAGTTCGTCCGTTCCATCATGGACTCCATCAGACACGTCGGTGAGTGGRGTCCCGGGGGTCTCCCCATCTCTGGCACCCCACACCCTGCTTTCAGTCCATCCCCATCTCTAACACCCGCTCTCTGCCCGCAGCCCGGACCCTTCGCAATGTCTGGCTGTGGTTGGGCAAGATCGGCAACATCTGCAACCGCGAGCTGGGGTCACCCCAGGGCAGCTGCATGCGCTACATGGACAAGGCCAAGGACAGATGTGAGCGTGCYGTCGGCATCTTCTTCCACATCTGCTATGTCGTCCACAGCTTCAAGATCCTCTGCAATATGGTTGATGCTCGTGAGTCCCTGTTCCTCTGCCCTGGGGGTGTTACAGGGTGGTGGGGCAGATCCATCCCCTCCCCTGGGGCCCAACCCTGGCACAGATCCCCCTCTCCACAGTTGCTGCTGTCTTCTGCGTCATCCCTCAGTACATCCAGGCCTTCATCCGGAGCAATGTCGCAGTCCGTGAGTATCCTGGTGCCATGTTGGGTCTGGGGTCCCTCTCTGCACCCCTCTTCTGGCTCTTGCCCCAATGCACAGCGCCTCTTGTCACCTCTGCAGCCCTCACGGACGCCCTTAACCGTGTCCGTGCGGAGTTTGAGTTCAACATCTCGGTCGTGCACCACTTCAACGTCAGCCTCAATGCCAGCAAGAGCCTGGGGGAGGTGTCTGCAGACATGATGGAGGCTGTGCGGCGGCACATGGAGCCCTACCACCGCGCCCTGGAGCTCTTCTCCTACCTCTCCTTCTTGGCTATCCTCTACTTGTGGTACCAGTGAGTGCGCAGGGGTCCTGCTCTGGTCACCTGTGGGGAGGGGGACATGGTGGGCAGGTGCTCAGCGTCCCCGCCGTTCCCCCAGAGCGATACGGTACCGACGTCGCTACCTGCGGGACGACACCTTCGACAACGTTTACATCACCCGGCGCTTCGTGGAGATGGACCTGCGGTGCGCAGAGCAGGGCAAACCCACCGTGCTGCCCCTGTCGGCACGGGAGAGGGGCCGATACATCCCCCCAGGTCAGCCCCAACCCCAGGGACGTCCCCCAGCCCAGCCCTGAGCACTGGGATGGCTCCTGGCATGGACTCACGATGCCCTRGTGCCATCCAGGTGCGCTGTGGCTGTCAAAAACGGAGCGACGCCAGTATGGACTGCAGCTGTTTGCGTTCCTGCGCCATGTGCTGCTGGGGTTCAGCATCCTCYTGGCTGACTACACCATCTTCTGGCTACTTGACCTGTTCCGGCACCAGCTGAGCGCCGAGATCATCGCCAGGGGTGAGCGGCACCCGTGGGTGTTTTGTTGGCTGAGGGTTGGGGCTGTGGGGTGGCCCCAGGACTGAGCCGCTCGCCCACAGCACCATCAACGATGACCATCAGCGTCAACGGGACRGGCTACACCAGTGAGATCTTCCAGGATCTGGTCTCTGCCTTCAAYGCGCTGCAGGAGGGCAAGGTCTCGGTGCTGTCCCAGAAATGCCTCATCGAGCCCGTGGAACCAGACCACAACACCCACATCACCATCGGTGCGCAGGCTGGGGGTGCTGCACCSTCCATGACCCCGGTGGGTGGGGTAGGGTGGTGCCACCCCTCCATAACTCATTTTCTTCCCACCAGGAATCCTGTACGGTGTCTGGCTYTTCATCGCCGTCTTCGGCTCCTACATGGCGCGTCTGCGCCGGGCAGTGTGTGCCTCCTACTTCCCAGCCCGTGAGCAGGTGAGACACTGTGCTSTGTGTGTGACCCCCTCCACATCCCCTCAGCATCCAGCTGCCCTCATCCCATCCCCTCCACGCCAGGAGCGCCTGGCCTTCCTCCACAACATCATCCGGGCACGGCGGGAATGGGTGGTGTTTGCCCTGAGCCGATCTGGCACACAGCGCATGGCTGATACTGGGAAAAGCAGGCTCTTCCTGATCCTCATCTCCAGGTGAGCTCCTCCAGGGGGTGGGAAAAGGCAGCAGCATCCTTGGGGAGTCTGTGGCAAGGACCCCTGAGATGGCATTGCCCCATGAATCATTGCCCCATGGATCATTTCCCCATGGATCATGGCCCCGTGCTTGCAGGTTCCCTCTCCTTGTCCGCCTCTCTCGCATGTTGGGCATCCAGCGAAAGCACTGCCTGACCTGCGGGATGGCAGAGAAATCAGATTTCACCGCCTGCATCACACCCAACTGCAAAGGTARGAGTCCCCATAGCTTGCRGACCCCCTCCCCAGAAAATGCCACRTCCCMCCYTGACGGCCCTGTTTTCCACAGGGCTGTTCTGCAGCGAGTGCTACAAAAACCTGAACAACACCTGCTCTGTCTGCATGGCCCCCCTGAGCTACCCAGACTCTGGGGATGAGGAGATGTGAGCAGAGGGGTGCCGGGAGCCCACCCGAGCCTGGGGGGCTGCAGCAGGTGGGGGTGGGGGGCTGCAGCTCACCCCTGTCCTCTCCACCCCTGCAGGGACTCCAGTGACGAGGAGATGCCAGAGCTGGGTGCTGTGCAGTCACTGCGGGGAGGCGGGGAGGAGCAAGGGCAGCCCCTGCTGCAGCGCATCAGGGACAGGATAAAGGGCTGGAGATTCCCGTTCAGAACGGCCACCGGGGTGCAAGATCAGCCGGAGGAGGAGGAGGAGAGCGAGGCGTTGCTCTCCAAGTGAGCGCTGGCTGTGGCGTGGCAATGTCCCCCCTCCCTAACAGCACTGGCACTGCTGGTCCCCAACACTTCTCTCCCTGCTGCCAGACGGGACTTAGACCATGATGAGCAGGCTGAGAGAAGGGACAGCAAGCTGCAGGAGGTGGTGGTCCAGCAGACATCCAGCGCTGTGGAGTCAGGGGTTGGGACTGAGACACGTCGGAGGCAGAAACCCCCCAACTCAAGTGAGCTCTGCTCCCRCTCCTCTCCCAGTCAGGGCTGCCGGTGGGCAGTGGGAGCGGGCAGGGCTGACCCCTCCCTCCCCACCCAGCCCTGAAGCGAGTGGTGGTCTTTCTCCTGCCTGGCCTGTGCAGCCGGTTCCTCTGGAGCCGGCCAGATGAGTATCGCTGCAGAAAATTCTTCCTGGGCGCTGGCTTCGGGATGCTCCTCGGCCTCGGTGAGTATATCCCAGTGACAGGCACAGCATGGGGCTGGTGGCACTGGGAGCTCAGGACACATTGTTGGGTTTTTCAGGACTCTGCCAGCTCCTCATCATGCCTCTGGACCTGCCGGAGKCACAGAGGCTGAAGCTCACCTGGACGCTGACATGTGAGGATAAGGCAGGGTGATGATGGGGTGATGGGGGCTGTCAGGAGCCCCCAGGGGGGTTTCTCTGTGGTGACATGGGGTCAGCTCTCTGCTCCACACAGTGATTACTGCCTTGGGCTGGGCCACGTCCCCCCACTTCCGCTGTGCCAACCTGCTCATGGTCCCCAAGTTCCTGGGCAAGGAGGGTCGGCTCTACGTTCTGTCCTTTGTCTTTGCTGCCATCTACGCTGGTAGGTCCCCCCACATCCCTGTGCCCCCCAGCAGGGTCCTGGGAGCTGGCAGGCTCTGAGCCACCCCTGCTGCCACCAGGGCCCGGTGCCAACCTCTGGCACAACCTGATGGAGACCAAGCGCTCGATGGAGTGCGTGGTGGAGCTGCAGATCAACCACACGGGAGTTCTCTGGCAGGCATCCACAGCCCCCCTGCGCCAAGTCATGGAAGAGCTGGTGGTGAGGAGGGGGCTTGGGGCAGCGGGGGCTGGGGGTCTGGGGGAGCAGGGCCGAGCCTCTGCCTCTGTTTGTGTGTCTGTGACCCGGCAGAAGAGCGGCGAGACTCTCAACACCGAGATGCAGAACGTCTCGCACGCTTTTGTGGAGCTGAACGAGCAGGTGGCCAGCCAGGAGGGCTACGACCTGCGGCAGCGCCCGGACAACGGCACCCACCGGGGCCCCAGCACACAGGAGCTGTACGAGAAAAAGACCAAATATCGCTGTGCCGGTGAGTGGGGTGGGCAGGGAGTGGCAGCACGTGGGGAGGGGGCTGCCCCACCATATCCCAGTGCACCCCAGTTTGGGGCTAGGCCAGCACAGGCAGCTGAGGGCTCCTGTCCCCCAGCTGTGATCAAGAAGGGCCTGCAGCGCTGYGGAGACCATTTTCAGAGAATGCACGCGGCCTGCATGCTGAGAGTGTCCGTGCCCATCATCAGCCACCTCATCTGCATGCCCATGCAGTTTTCGTTCCTCTGCCGATCGGTCGGACGTAGGTGACCCTGACCCTGCATTCCCTCGGAGCAGCAAATCCAGTCCTGTCCCTGCAGCTCCTGGGACACCCCCAGGTCACCACTGTCCCCATTTCATCCCTGCAGTCTTGAAGTACTGGTGTGAGGAGAGAATCCCTGTGGATGGGAATTTYGGGCAGGTGTACGACCAGGTGAACACCTCTGTCAACAGCCTCGGCCAGGAATTCAGCGCCAGCATCGCCTACCAGGTGGGTGCTTGGGCACCCTGTGAGTGCCTGTCCCTTGTGCCCAGGGCCAGGGTCAGGGCCAGCTCCTGCCCTGCCCACGGCCCCTCTGCCATAGGAGGAGCACCGGGAGATGCTGGAGGGCGTCGAGGTAGCAGAGCAGCTGCGGGARGAGGTGACCTCGCAGCTGCGGGAGGAGGGCGTCCGCCTGGGCCTGGCCGTCTCCTTCTTCCGCCTGCTGCTATCCTTCACCTTCCTTTTCGTCTTCCTCTCGTAAGACATGGTCRGGGTCTCGTTGGCATGGTCGGGGGGTGGAGGTGACACCCCTGTGCCAGTTGTGGAGCACAGATGGGTGAGGGTCTTCTCTGGCAGCAGGTTTGGGGGGGTCCTGGGGGGCTGCAGCCGGTCCCTCCTTCTCCTCCGGGCCTCTCCTGTCTCACCAGGGCTTTCTACTACACTTATCAATACTGTCACAACATCGGCTTTGACAACTGCTACATCACCACCTACTTCCGCCAGATCGATGCCCGGCGTGAAAAGCAGGTTGGGTGGGGGGAAAGGGGTGCAGGGCAGCCCCCCGCCCATGGCAGGGTGTCCCAGAGGCTGCACTGAACCACCCCCTGCCCCTCACCCAGAACAAGCGGACGCTGCTGCCCCTGCTCCAGGAGGAAGCCTCGGCTTTCATCTTCCCGTGCCACCCGGCYGTGCAGCGGCCTGAGAGGCAGTACATGGTGAGGGGGCTGGGGGTGATCTGGGGGGTCAGGGTGGGGACAGCAGTCTGTGACAGAACCTGCTCCCCGCAGCTGATGGAGTTGCTCAGGTGCATCCCGCTCCTACTCTTCCTCCTCTTTGTCTGCGGCCTGGAYCACTTCATCTTCAGCGTTCTCAGCATCATCCAGAACCATTCCTTTGTGGAGTATTCCTACCAAAGTGAGCCTGTGGCCCCAGGGGGCAGACCCATGGTCTCACCGTGCCCCTCAGCAATGCAGGGACCCCCCTATCCCTCCCACTCCCTCCTCAGCCTCCCCTATCCTCCCATTCCACAGCCAGCCACCACTTGACCGTGAATGTGATGGGCACATCCCTGATGGCGCAGCTGCTGCGGAGCACCATTGGGGCTCTCAACACCTCCTTCGACTCCCAAGTGGAAACCTCCAACCTTGGTGAGCCCCTGGCAGGGATGGGACCCTCCCCCAGCCCCAAGCCTGCCCAAAGGGGCTCACAGCAGTGCCGTGTCCCCAGCCTGYCTGCCACAGCCCACCGGGATGACGAGGAAGCAGTATGAGAACACTTGCTTGCCCCTGGGCTTGCTGGCCCTGCTCTGCCTGGCCCAGGTCTACCCGTTCCGYCTGCGCCGCGCCATCGCCGCCTTCTACTTCCCCAAGGTGAGCGTTCCRAGGGCTGGGCACAGCTTGGGGGGTGGGTTCTGAGGTGGCTTTAGGATGGGCTGTGTCCCCAGCCGCCCACCCCTCACAGTTTTCGCCGGCACAGCGGGAGAAGACTCGAGTGATCTTTCTGTACAACAAATTGCTGCGGCAGAGGAAGAATTTCGTGCAACTGCAGCGCGGGCGCATCGCCCGGCAAGCACGGCAGGCTCCCGGGCTCGTGAGTGGGGATGGGGACACAGGGACATCTGGGTGGGGTGTGCCACTGTCCTGTGACCCACACGGGCCTGTCCTTGCTGCAGAGGACATCWCTGCTGCAGTGGTGCCGCCGGCGCTGGCCCCGACTGCGCCGCTGGCTGCGCCGGAGCTGCATCCTGTGCGGGACCCCCGAGACGCCCCGGCACCGGCCCTGCTCCAACCCCAACTGCAGCGCCATGTACTG